TTTGTCGGACAAAGGTAATGATCGGGGATGCACTCTCTTTGATGGAAACCAAGACTGCCGGCAGCCGATTTCAATCGTTGAAATTTGTTTTGCAAAATATATTTTATATGACATATAAAAGTATATATATTATGGTTTCCAAACGTTTGCAAAAAGTTTTAATTCCCGGGATCCATGTGAGTGGAGAGTGCAGCACTATTCCTTGCAGCCGAGGGAGATGTCATCTCTTGTCGGTCAGTGTTTGTTCATTATGGGCTGAGAGGTTAAGTGTAAGATCATTGAGGGTAATACCTGATGGGCTAATCTTGCATCTACCCACAGTCCCTGGTGTTACAAGGTGGCTTGGCCCAAGGACCACTTAGAGTAAGTGTTGGGCCCATAGAGCCCATGTGATGGGTTTCAGGGGGTGCACTGTCCATAAAAGTGTATTCGGCCAGGCCTTGTAACAAAAGTTGTGTTGAACCCATGTAGCTGATGTGTAGATCAATGTTTGAGTCTCACGCCATACAAGGAAGCCCAACTGGGCAGCAGTTTGGAAGGCTAAGTGAGCACATAACCTTATTAGGCCTAAAGCCCATTTCGAACTTGACTGATTTGATCAGCTTAATATGGGGTGAATTCTGATATTAGATTAGCAGATAGGATTGGGTTTTAACCCTATCCACTCAGAGAGCATATATGAATGTGATTCTAGAAACCTTCTAATAGAATTAGGAGAGGGCGGATCTAATCTACAGATAAGATAAGGATTTACCCTTATCACTTAAGGGGAATTCTGATCCAAATATGATTTCGATCAACAACTCCTAATGGGATTAGGAGCTGATCCCTTTAAGCTTATAAAAGGAGGAGGGGGCGCCAGCCTTTAGAAGACACATATTCACATCCTCTTCAGAGCTGAAATCACAAAAAAAGAATTCAGCACCTCTGCGAAAATTCTTTCTTGCCGCCGCCACATCTTCCAGTTCGTTTTCCTCTTGTCAGTAGGAGTGATTAAAATTAGATCTTGATATTAGTCATTTGTGAAAGAACTGATTAGAAGTAGTGCTCATGTGTCATCCAGGTGATTCTTGCGAAGGATCCGGTTCTTGTGAAGAACGCTGTTGATTCTGCTCCATCCTGCACTGCGCCATATTCAGTGGGAGAAGTCTTTGGTTCCTTCCTTGGGCGTGAACACCTCCATTGGGAGATATTGTTTCTCCGTATCAGGTATATCCCTCTCCTACTGCTTTTGTTCAGATCTGGTTCGGTTCTTGGTTCAAGATTGATCCGTGAAAAATATGATTTTTCTAAAATAGGGAATACGATTCCCAGTAGGATGGAGAAAAAATTTTGAAATTCGCCCATTCTATTCCACAAGATTCGGGCGTCCATACAATGGATATCTCATCCCTTCAGTGGTATCAGAGTCAGGTTCAAATCTTGAACCGAATTGGATCAAATCTGAACCTGCGCAAATGGGCAGAAGGCGTTCTACCCGATTTGTGCAGTTATAAGGTTTTTCTGGAAAATTTGTTTCCAGTTGATTGGCGATTAATCTGAAATTAAATTTTATAAATCTGATTATTATTTAGAATTGTTCTTTATAATTTTCTAAATTTATGGGTTGTTCGTACACATGGAGATCGAAATCTTGATTGGCGCATGGAACCTGCGATTTTGCAGTTTCTTGTTTTTTTATTACATTTGGTTTGTGAAATATTTTTTTTTTTATTTTTAGACTAAATGTATAGGCATTCGATCTGATGTAATTATAATAGAAATTAGGTTTTCTATTTATTTTATTTTGGATCGAAGATGGTGGCGCAAGGAAGGAGTTTTCGCATATGGGAAAATCGCTATCTACGATTTGCAATTTATGAAACTACAAACTGTGATCTAACCTCTGTTTTGCAGAATGGAGTGTGCGAACAACCCTATCTGACTTATTCTTGTTTTTCTATTATCAGTATTTAATTTCAGATTAATTTCTTGAATTAAATCTTTAATTAAATATCAAACCCTATACCCATTCGAACCATATTGGTCCAAACTGGTTGGACCAAATCTAGGGTTCGATCAAGGCTGAATGTTAGCCCTATTTCTCCCACTAATGGGCTTAAGGATTGCTAATTAATTGAATATTTAATTTGGCCCAACCTATAAAGGCCCAATTTTAATTTGTTAAAACTGCTAAAAGCCCACTTCGCAGATAAAGCCATATGGACCAAATTGATCAACCCAAATTTTGGCCCATATACCTAGATAATATTAATGGTTAATATTATGGACTTTATAGATATTAATTGATTGGATCAATTCTTCCCTGCATGTGATGTATGGATGTGTGATGTGCTACGTTCATGGGCCATAAGTGCTTGGCCCATGCTGATTCGATAGTGGCTCTTGCGCACACCATGGCTGAATGCACATCGTTGCCATGGTGTCCCTGCTGGTCATTGGATGACCTCCTTCAATGGTGGGCCCCACCCCTCCTGAAGAGGATACATGCGGAACCCTAGCCGATTTTGGCCCACCAAAATCTGGCTTTATGAAAGTCAGTGGGAGCCACTTTGGTTTGACCTAAATCAAACTAGGGCGTAATTTTCCATTCCCTCCTACAAATATGAGTGCATGTGATAAGGAGATTCATGTGATGAACTCTCTAAAGGCCTTCCATCATTAGCATGATGATGGGTCCTTCAGTAATGAGGAAACGCACCAGAAAATAGGCTATCCATTTGCTGTTGGGCTTGTCTGAGTGCTTCATAAGATGATAGGGGCGTCATAGACCGATGTGGGAGGGGCTTCACCAGAAAATGGGAACTCTCTCACGGTACCTTGGCGTTCACGAATATGATGGGTGAGCACTCACTAGACAGAAAGGTTTACCTGAAAACGGATATGAACCTTATCTGATAGAGGGCAAAGGA